GCGGCTGGTGGAACCGCCGCACCACAGCCCAAAGCGCCGCCATGGGCGCTGTCATGTGTTGCTCTACCACCGCGGAGCAGCACCGCCCGAGACCCAACACCGCGTGCTCGTGGTAATGCGGCGCTGCCTCCGCGGCACCTCCTCGTCGTGCGCCCCGCACAGTGTCTCCGCGCTCGTCGTGGTCGCAATAGCCGTGACCACCTCCGCCGCGCACCCGCTGCTGATAGCCGTACCCTACCGGTAGAATAGATCCGGAGGTGGCCTCGTTGTCGTTATCGGTGACTTTGACTCGGCGAGGTAGGCCGCGTTAGCAGGCTCGTCAAGCACCGGTGTCTTGCCACGGCCAGCGTTTGCACATTGACTGCATTGTGCCCCTATCTCGTCGAGACATCATCCCAATGCAGTGGCTAGAGGAGTCAAGGAACGTCCTTTATCTATGCTTGTCTGTGTATTTGTTTCCAACTCTAATAGTTGGAACATACATCGGATTTGGTACATGTTTTTTTCCCTTTTTCCTCGTTCTTTTAATTTTTGACACGTTCGAAAAAAAAGGAAACTTTCCACGGAGAACGTTAGACACCAACGATGGACGAAAATAGGACTCTTCTATATCAGTCATCGCTAGACGCGATATATTTTAACTCTTGTGAGTATGGCTTATGATGAGTCCGAGTCACATACACGAACCAATCCGTTTTAGAATTAGACTTCGTATCATGCTAGACCAAGAGTTATTCTAACTCATATGAGCATATGTTATATATTATATATATATATATATATATAAGTCTAGACGGAAGAAACTCTCGACTACCGGTATTTAGGGAGAGGTGGATGGAAAAAATGGATGGACGAATAAAAATGGTCGGAAAATTTGCTTCTTTATTATTAGGTATAGATATAGATTAGGGGTATAGAAGAAAGGAGAAAAAAAACGTTCAGAATAAAGCAGAACACGTGGAAAAAGTAACAGGAAATTTAGGTCTGAAGACAGGGGAAAGAGAACATGCACACCTTATTAATTAGTCCATAGTTCATAGCCGAATATGCAGAAACAAGGGACATTTATTTATTGGTAATGACGAAAAGGGGAAACAGAGTTAAGCAAGAACGAACAAGCAGAGCAAAGCAACAGTACATCTTCATCGGCCGTGTATGTTATGTTCCATCAGAGAAAGTATTCCCTAACAAGAATGTATGATTTGTAGACTCTGGATTTTATGCAGCTTGTTTAGGCACTCGATGAGATATTTATCCAAGCCGCCGTTCCAATTAGTAAAGCTGATAATTGATGGACAATATGACCTCTAGAATCGTAGATCAGGGGATAAACTTGACTTAGATGGGAGATTTCGGTGATGTACCTCGCTATGCGCAGTAACAGCCACGGCGCCACCGCGACATGGCCACTGGAGTCGTAGTAGGGGAAACCGTGACGCGCCCGCTAGGTTGTCGTAGGTAGCAGTAGTGCAGGCGCGGTGCTGTGGCGGCGGCGAAGGCAATGGAGCTTCCCATCTCTTACAGCACCCCTCTCGATCGGACTAGGGTCGTTAGGACATGGTGGGGCGCTGGTGGCTATGGTGAACCTCGTGTCTCGAGCCCTAACTCCCACCTCCTTTACATAGCGCTGTGCGATAGGGCCCACTAGCTTGGAGAGCGGCTGGGCGCCCCTGATCAGGGCACGAGTCAAGGGCCCAATTGGCTGTTGGGCCAAATTGCTGCAGATCAGCCTAACAATAATCTCCAACACCCTCAGTTCTGTAAGATGGCCTAGCTCTTCTATTATGTCTGTGGAGTCATTGCGGATTTCTAATGATGAAAGATCTTCAAGGGCTGTCAGACTCCCAAGCTCTTTCGGCACTCTCATCTCTTCATCTATGAATAGGCACATCAAATTTGTTAGCCGACCAATACTCCACGGCAAGCTAGTAATTCTGTTTCCCGCTACTTCTAATATTTGTAAAAACCGTAGGTTTCCTATTTCTTCAGGGAGCTGATAAATACATGTCCTTCTTAGTCCAAGGTACCTCAAATGAAGCAAATATCCAAGGTATTTAAGGCTATTACCTTGTGAAAGATCGCAATCATGTAAATCCAGTACACGCAAAACTCTGAAGTTCTGGAGAGTTGGTATATGATCAACAGCAGGTGGAAAGACAACTGACCTCACATATTCTATGTCCATAGTAGCCACCGGTTTGGGACAGCCTTCGAAGTTTTTGTAATGGAGAGCCATTCCATACAAAAGCAAAGTTTTCGTTTGTTGACAAGGAACAGATAAGATCAAGCACCATATCATGCACGCGGCAAGATTTTACCGTGCCACTATATTTGTCATATATGGGTAGGATCATACCTCTATTTATGAGCTCATTGAAGTAACTCTCCCCCATTACAAATAAGCTATCTCCTTGTTTTCTAAACTGGATAAAACCTTCAGCTATCCACAACCATATCAAATGATCTTTGCTGATTTCTTTATCTTCAGGAAACATACCTAAATATAACAAGCAAGTCCTTAGATGAGACGGCTTACCATAATGGCCAAGTATCAAAAACTTTCTCATAGTTTCTATCGTGGCATCCTTTAGTCCAGGACCAATTGAGTAGCACACATCGTAACAATCTAATGTGTTTATTCCTTTACTAACCAGCAAACCAGCAACTGTAATAATGGCTAAGGGAGAACCTTCACATTTCTTTAGTATTCGTTCTAATACTTCAGCTTGCTCTTCATCAAGGCATTTGTCTTTATCTCCTTTGCCAAATATTCTTCTAAACATTAATATTTTGGAGTTCTCTAGAGATAGGGGCTTCATCCTGTAGGGACCATCAATTTTTTCAGCAACTGAAAAAATACGGGTAGTTGTGATGATTCTATATTTGTCACTGTCATCAGGCAGAGCACGTCTAATGATATTCCAACATGAGATGTCCCATATGTCATCAGCAACAATTAAGTACCTGCACATATGGTACCACAAAAACATGTCACTAAGCAAATTATGAAAGAAAATTCTAGTTTTTCTCACATATATGCTATGTAAGTCAAGCTAACCAAGGGACTAAATCAATGGTTCACATATCATAATCCTAGAAGACATATATACGGCACAATCATTTTCCTCTCTCCTTCCTTCCATATATCTTTGGTTCATACTACACAGTTCAAAGCTCTCCTATCTGATCGATTATTATTCATAGTAGTTCAAGATACCTTTTCCTTTGATCCGCATTGATGGGTGGATGCAGAACCAGAGTACATGTTTCAGCATTGGCAGCTCCCTGGCTGGCCACGTAGACCCTCACCTCAGCCAGAAGCGGAGCTAGCTAGGTGTGTTTGTTGGGGTTAGCTAACTCAGTGCATCTTTCAAATCCCATTACAAGTTACTCCTTTGGACTTAAAAATCACTCTTTCAAGTAGACAATAAACCATGTTTAACCCCAATGGTTGGTGGTTGACCCCGGTAACATATTATTCTGGCAACACTCATGGCCGAGGCCATGGCCCATGAGTGGTATTTGCTTGAGCTGGGGGACATCAACCAGGGCACAGGATTGAAAGCACTGTGACACCATGGGTATATCATAGCATAACAGATCCATTGTGGCCCAACCTGTCTGCTGTTAACATCACATCCTCCTCTCCCAACCAGGTCTGAGACCTTTCTCCATTGCTTCCTCCGCCAGGTTCTCTACCCCAAAGTGTCTCCGGATTTGCACAGGAGATAAGGAAAACCGAACTAAAAATTTAATATTGCAAGCATATCAGTTGCCATTGTATAATCTTCCTGTTAAGCATGGCTGCTAGTAAGCAATTGGTGATTTTCAGTTTCCATGGAATAAGTTTGCTAACACGGAGCCAAACACACTGTGAAGAACAACAAAGAAAGGCCATGCAATTGGTTGGGCCAGTGATGGAGATAGGAGGAATTTACATGCTGCCCTGATCATCTATGCGTTAGTAATGAGGGTTGTGAATGCCTGCCATGGTGGCATGGTGGATAATAAAAGGCTATGTCAGTTTTAGCTTTTCTGTGGCATATATGAAAGGGCTCTTGTTGGCCTCAGGGTTTACAATACCGGTAAGAAAAAAAATTCGGTCTCCAGCGATAAATACGAAATTTCAGAAATTTGGTTCAAATTTAAATAAATTTAAATGGAGTTTTAAACAAATTTGGCATCATTTCACTAGAAAAACTCTATAATCCATCATCCATCATAAATTTATATAACATCGACGAAATAACATAATATATCACAGAGGTAGAGCCGCGGAAATACAGTGTGCTGACGGTGGGCGAGCTGCATATACTAGTGCCGTCCAATGTGTGAGTGAGAAAATTAAATAAATTTGAAGAAATTTAGGGCTTTGACAAGACTAGATGATATGGAGGGTCATTTTAGTGTGGTTTGGTGTAATTTTAGAGTGAAAGATGAATTTAACCGAAAAATTTTGACTGATACAAAAAAAAATTTGGACCTCAGCGAAAAAGGCGATATTTCAGAAATTTTGGCGATATTTCGCCGAAATTGTAAACCCTGGTTGGCCTAGCGGTGGCGGTAGAAGAAGTGGAGTAGTCCTTGATGCATGAACGTTGGTGGATAGAAGTGGGCCCTAGATGATGACGTGGCTTCATGAGATGATAGTGGAGCTCTGGTGATGACGTGGCCTCACGAAATCACAGAGAAATATGGTAGTGGCGTTTTGCTTTATAGGATAAGATAAGTATTCAAAGCACGATTCCAAATTCAATTACATCAAGATAAACCGCAGTTGCCGGAAAGAAAACATAAATACAACTCACACTCACAATACGAATTATTGGACAAAGCTAAGGGACGGGATGAAATCTCGCACTCACAATAATTAATGGACAAAGCCAAGATGAACCGAATGGTAGGTAGATGCAGAGACTTGCTTGGGCTCATCATAAGACTGCTTGTAAAGGAGGTGCATCTTTTTAGAGTTGGAAGGGCACATGCCCCGGCCCGGCCTTTCAAGATGCATTATCTGCTTGTGCGTGCCCCCCATTTGCTTCATTGCGACGTTCAACAATGACGGCATCATGCAGCCTGACGACCACAATGTAGACCACGACTGCGACGACCAGCACCATGACATACAAGGACGTTTGCAATGTTCGGCAGCTACCAGCAGCATAGGCCACCAGTAGCCCAACCAAGTCCAGTGCGACCACAATGTTGGTCGCCATAAGGAGCAATTTCTGCGGTTGTTCATCCCTTTGCTTCATAGTCAGCCGTTCACTTTGCAGCAATAGGATGATGACAACGATGGAAGCCACGAGAAGGAGCTGGAGTTGCTGTAGAAGAAGACATGGTACCGGCGTAGGTTGTTGTCATGCAGCATGGGGCTCCCGGCGGCGTACCCTTCGGGCCACACACCACCTGGCGGGTCCAGGCCCGCCTGGTACATGACACTCGCGGCAAGCATTGCGAGCAGCATCACGTACGTACTTGCACTTTGTTGTGTGATCTCCTTCTCCTCGACGACGGCGGTGGTCGTCGTTGTGGTGGTCCTGCTGTCGTCGTCGTATACGCAGAAACAAAGCAAACAGCATCGCTATGAAGCAGATGACACCTCCGTCCAGGGCGAAGACGTAGATGGACGTCCTCAGCCTCCGGGCACTCCCAGCAGCGTAGGCACCCATCAAGACCAGCATCCCCACCAGCATGCACGCGTACAGACCGTAGAATCGGATGCCCGCCGGCTGGTACGTCTTGTCGTCCTGGAGCAAGATGATAAGCGCCATGGATGCCATGAAGCTCATCGCGTTGAAGTAGAAGAAGGCTTTGTAACGGCGAGGGTACATGTCCTCAAGGATCGGGGAGCCGACCACGACCGATGAGTGTCGCTGGCAGGCTTAGCATTCCGGATCGGTGGTAGATCGCATGTGTGACATCAATACTATATTGCATTGTACTGTATAGCATCGTTGATCTTTTGTAGTCCACCTCGTGTCTATAGGCGCACGTAGGATCCGGTTACTAAGGAAAGCATCCTCTGTTGGTGTCTCCCGTTGAACTATAAAGACATAAGCTTACCCAAGTCAGAACTAGAGATCCCTAGTTATCCTCTCTACGCTCCTGTTTATCCTAACCTTATTGCTACTCCTAGATTAAATTAGACCTTAACCTATTTATTACCCCTCGTTAAGTTAGACCGTAGTTAGTCTCACACGTTTCCCTATGGATACAATACTTGAAATACTTCCGGGTGAAAGCTACAGCGGTATCCGTGCGCTTGCGGATTTATCTATGTGCGTTAAATATACCAACAGTGAAGAGCAGCCACAACAATGGAGGGAATGGCCCAAACGCGCGCCTCTGTGCTTAGGATGGAAGAGAGGAGGAAGGAGAGGACAGTGCTAGCTTTTTTGTACTGCCATTTAATCATGGTCGGTTCTTGCCTAGAACTGACAGAGATAGCATCAAATCACGATCGGTTCTTGGCTAGAACCGGCAGTGATAAGTGGCCGCTAACTCACTGCTGGTGCTAGCCACAAACCGGCAGTGATATGGTCCTTCACTGCCGGGTTTAGCCCAGCCCCAATCATTTTCTTATTTTCAAGCTCAGAACCGGTAGTGAAGGTACATCACTGCCGGTTCTCGCAAATCCTGCAATGATGAGGCCGACAGTGATGTCCAAATCTATAGTAGTGTATAGGTGCCGATAGTTACACTTGCACCCCCCTCACATAGATAATATAGTACCCTTCGCCTTAGTAGTAGTTACCCGTATATTCGCGTATGTGCATGTATCATGACACATACTCGAGTATACCCACATCCTATCACATAGCTACACATACATGGATATGCTCGATACCCGGGTATACCCCTATGTATGGTTAACTTTATCTCCCACCTTTTCTAACCTGACTAACCTAGGCACATACATATGCATGTGCGTATGCGCCACTAACCCGGTCGACTTGTAGAGACTAGCCAGGTCATCCATGATGACTTGGTCAGGCTTTCTCTTTGAGGTTCACATATTAGTGAACCCTAATAATAATGTGGTCTGGCTTTTCATCAGACCAACCACCCCATCTTAACCTAAACCATAGAGTCCAACCCCATGGATAGAATACCTCTATCCAAACCTTACTTCAAATTGACATAGTAATGATAACCTAGATAACAATCCATCACCCAATAGGACCAACCCATCTAGGATCGTTTCCTTCACTTTGGTTGCCTATGCTTGTTTTACATGCCTTGCTTGCTATTTTTCTTGTTAGGGTTTTCTTTCTTGTTGACACTAGACCGCGTAGGATAGAAGACGTGGAACCAACCCGATGGAGTCCAGAAGACAGGAACAGGAGACACAGGAATCAGAGAAGGACATGATCATCAGCGAATGGAGGCAAGTCCTAACACCCACCTATTCCTTTCCTCCACTTTAATTACCATCCCTTAACCACCTCCTCTTCCACCACCACATTTTGCTAGCCTCCACCATAAACCCTCAACGCTCCATCTCCATTAATTAATAAACACAACATATATTACTTAAACTCTTATTTGTGAATTAGTGGAATTATAATGAATTATGAGCTCGGTTTGACTATGTTAATGTGATCAATGATAATAAGGTAATGGTTACCTTTATATGATATCAGCTCTATGAACCTGATGATAATCATTGAACTTAAACTAGTGAAACTAGACTAAACCCTAACAGGGGGCGAGTGGGGGTAATTTATGTGGGGGATAGATTACCTTGGCAGGAACGCCTGGTGAGGGTTCCTGTGGGAGATACTCACCTCGGTCACATAAGGACCGGTTCGTAGTCCCTCTCACCTAGTGAGATATTTCATACAGCCACATGCAGATATGGGCAGACTTGATCTCACACCCTGTTAGATTGAAGTATAATTTCTACTAGGAGGTCGTTGTTGGTACCGGAATATCAGAAGTAGACATGGATGCTTTGTGATCTTCCATGGTCCGGTTGGCATGGTTGCTATGTGATCTCCCACATTAAGCCCTTGAGTATTTTGGCCACGTTTGAGCCCAGGATTATTGTTTTGGCCGTGTTCGAGCCATGTTATTATTTATTTTGATGATTTGGTATCATCGGCACTATTATGTTGGGATGATGTTGTATCGTCCGAGATTATATGAAGGGATGACGTGGTGTCATCCAGGATTATGAGATGGGATGATTTGGTATCCTCCCGGGAATTAGTGTGTTTTTTCAACCCCTAAGACGCCGCGGTAGAGTTATATGAAAATCTGAGGATGCGTCCCTTTGGGTACGAGGTCTCACTAGACCTGTCTAAGCCATGACGATGGTGTCAGACTGTGTCTATCATGTGGGGAAATTTGTACACCTCTGCAGATTTTCTCAAATCTATTCAAATAGCCACGTCCTTAGAATGGGAAGATGCTAGGATGTGATACTATGATTAGACTTCTATAACTGTGATAATTTGGTAAGATGTATTTTACTAATTTGGTAAACTATAATTAACCCAGAAACTGGTGAGAATAGTAATACTCTGCCAGGATCCAACCTATAATTATAACCACTTCAGCCTACCACTTTGACCTGAACCACCACACCCCCCTCCACATATAGCCTTCCCCTTCCACCTCTCCTCCACCCAAAGTTTAGGGCTTGCTGAGTACTTCATGTACTCAACCCCCTCCATTTTATGTTTTTAGGAGTAAAGCTACGGGAGCACATATCAGGATGGAACCATTGGAGCTACGCGAGGATAGGACAATAGGAGAATGTATGAGTATATATAGAGCTATCGAGGACTACACAAGGATAGGACACCCGGAGTACACAAGAGGAGGAGCCGTACAACTGCATGAAGGAGCTACGCTAGGACTACGATGTTAGGATATAGGAGTATGCTTAAGGAATAAGTCTAGGGTTATGTCCGCACTTTAAGTTGTCTATAGGAATAGAGCCACGTTGTTATAAAACCGCTGTCTTAGAACTCTAACATACGATATAAGGCATATGGCCCAAGTTATGTAAACCTGAACTATGTAATGTGTTTCTCCATTAGCAATAAAAGTATGGTTTTTGATATCAATCTTGTTCGAATTGTGCGTATCAGCTACTGATCCAGGGACTGATACATGATGCATAGAGGACCCAAAAAGTAGGGATCCGACACATCCCCTCCCCCGGCCCACTCCATGGCGGTCATGACCCTCCCTCACGTCCTACCAGATATGGCCCTCCCCTCCCCTGGCTGATGGCGCCCTCCCCAGATCCGGCAATGTCTCCTCTCCCTCGGCTGATGACAGGCATGGTGGGGGTGTCCAAGCGCGCACAATCCAACAAGCCTATGTCACCGCAGTTGCCCACCAGGTAGATCATGGCCGCACGACGATACTGTGTTTCAAGTGTTTCGGGACGCTTTTCAAACATGTTGCAAGCCCATGTTTCAAGTGTTTCAGTTGTTTCATATGTATGTTTCAATTGTTTATGCGGATGTTGCAAAAGTAGATCGGGATGTTGCATATGTTGCAATGGTTGTACACGTATGTTGTAAGCGTCTATCCCCAATGTTTCATCTGTTTTTTGTATAGGTATGTTGCAAGTGTTTCAGACGCATGTCTCTCATGTGTTTCATCTATCTTCTTTTGTATGTTGCAAGTGTTGCATCTAGATGTTTCAAAAGTAGATCGGGATGTTGCACATGTTGCAATGGTGTTTCAACTGTATGTTCTAAATGTTTCATCTATTTTAGATGTATGTTATAAACATTTTATCTTGATGTTGAAAAAGTAGATCGGGGTGTTGTACGGCGCAGCCAGTGGCTGTCGCTATTGTTGGGCGTAGCCGTGGGTCAGCCCACGTGGGTTTCCCCGTACGTATGTGGTGCGGGATGGGCGGGGGGCGTGAGTCCCTGCGATGGACGCGAGCACGGGTGCTGGAGCGGGATGCGGGACATGGGGCATGGGGCGGGATGCGGACGCGGGAGCAGCAGAGACAGACAACGTATACAGACGGAAATTGATTAATTGATTAATGGCAGTCCAACTACAACATGTGTCGGGGCAAGCACGCGAGGGCGTCCGGACAGGGGCTAGTGTCCGGATGTCCGGACGCTAGCCATACCGAAATTATATCAACCGTGGACAGCACCAACGAAACTGACGCAGCAAAGAGGTGAATCCTGCATGTGCGTACGTAATGCTTGCAATATATAGCCACCTTGCAATATAGGGTAAGGCTATTCTGCAGCTGGCCATAGAATAATTTATTCTATAGCCACCTTGATTTACGATAATATTTGTACCAATTTACGATAACATGAATATGCATTTACGATACTCGTGTTACTACAACTCACGGTTAGTAAATCATTTAGTAAGGAGTTACTGTAATCTCGTAAATTAGTATGGTAATTATCGTAATTCAAAGTGGCCACAGAATAAGTTATTCTATAGCCAGCTGTAGAACAGTAGTTATATATATATATATATTTATTTATTTATTTATCAATGACCCTATACCTTGTTCTACCTGTACATTACCTCATCAGTAGTGACGTTCAAGTTTTGTTTACTGGTTTGTCCTAGGAAATGTTGTTTCCTTATAAAGTTATTGAAATTTTGATTTAATGTTCAAAAAGTCATGGTAGAAAAATTAAGGTTAGCTTTGAATACTCCATCTAGGTTTACACCGCAAATTCTTTTCTTTCTGGTTAGGCCCTTGGCATGGGACACTATTTGCGAGGACGCAGCATGGAGATGGCAACTGTGCATGGCGTGGTGGCGTCACGACGGCCGCGCATGGTGTCATGGTGGAACTACCATGCTTGCAGTAACAACAGCGTGG